TCAATAAAAAGCAAAGATGATCAAATAAACATAAAACAAGCTAATATAAAATAACACAGGTATAAAATACATGAATACAAGTTACAGTGCAGTGTAAGATATTAATAGTTCAATTAAAAGCAGCAACACAAAGGAAAGTCTTCTGCCTGGATTTAAAAGTAGTTCGAGTTGCAGCGGACCTGCAGGTTTCTGGTAGTTTGTTCCAGATGTTTGGAGCATAACAACTGAACGCTGCTTTACCATGTTTAGTTCCTACTCTGGGGACAGAAAGCAGACCTGTCCCAGAAGACCTGAGAGTTCTGGATAGTTCATCATTTAGCAGGAGATCAGAAATGTTTTTAAATCGGCAGTTTTTAAATTGTAAATTTTGTTTCTTAAGTTNCTCTGGGGACAAAAAGCTGACCCTTCCCAGAAGACCTGAGAGATCTGGATCTGTCTCATTTCCTTGGGACATCATCCACTGACTAAGACCATTATGAACCATCCAGATCTCTCAGGTCTTCTGGGAAGGGTCAGCTTTTTGTCCCCAGAGTCAGAACTGAATATGAAGAAGCAGCGTTCAGTTGTTATGCTCCAAACATCTGGAACAAACTCCCAGAAACCTGCAGGTCCGCTGCAACTCTGACTACTTTTAACTCCAGGCAGAAGACTTTCCTTTTTGCGGCTGCTTTTAATTGAACTAGTCATATCTCACACTGCACTGTAACTTTTATTCATGTATTTTCTACGTTTATTTTATTATCTTTGCTTTTAAATGACAGTCTTTAAATGCCATTTTATAATGAGTTTCCGCTGCATTATTTCTTATTCTTTCATTTTTGTAAAGCACTTTGAATTTCCTTGTGTTGAAAGATGCTATATAAATAAACTTTGCCTTGCTTAAGACATGCTGATGAAATAATGATTCAACCAGCTTTAAGCCATATTTATCTATACAGGAGCAATTCTGTTTGAAAAAAGGACACTCATTTTGTCTGTTATTTTTGATAATAGCTTTGAAATATTTCTTCCACTCCATATGATCTCAAACTGATTTGAACTGATTGGATGGTTAACTGGTCAGGAATAAAGAGAGAGCCACAACTAATTGTATGTCTTTTCTTGAAACAGTTGACTCTGCATGGCTCTGTTCATACATTATTCTCAAAGATAAATGCAAAACAAAAGACTGCATGTAACTGTCCTAAAATGAGAATGAACAACAAGCTCTCCTTTTCATGCCTTTAATGGGGACCTCCACACCGAGATCAAACCTTGACTGGTAATTGGACTTAATAAACACCGCTTGAGAAGCAGAACAAAGGCAGATACAAAAGAGCAGGTCCAGAATATTTTTGAATACTGTCTCATTATTAAGATAGACTTGTAAATCTCGGCTGTAATTATAGTTTCCACATTATGCTATGAACAAAAAGGATTGCGTCCCTTTGAAGAGCAAACAAAAGGCAATTTGCTTTCGCGTATTCCCATCTTTTAAAAAATGTACTTTTGGTCAAGATTAAAGCGCCAAGCAGGATGTCATCATTTGGTATCTCAAGTACTATAACAATACAATTCAAAACCGCAATACTGGGTAAATTAAGACAATAAGCATAACTTTAAAAGTTTCACTTATGAGTTCATAATTGAAAACTTAGCATTTAAAAAACTCGGACGGAAACACCTTTTCTGCTTGTGGCTGGGATATAACCATACACTCTACTGTATATATATGAAGGGGCATACCCAGCACCAAGTTAACATGAGTTCATAAAGAGATATGATAGGATATGAGGGGCAACAGAAGGTGAGGCAAATATGGAGCAGGGGTATACGCAGACAACTATCAGGACATACAACACACAGTAAAAGCAGCAGAATAGAACATTTTCTGACCTATAACAGCTTGAGAGTAACCTGCACTGTATCATCTCTGTATCTACTATAATTGGCTTTGCTAACATAAATAATAAAGAAGGTACATCCTCCTATGTTTGATGGTAATGATAACGCAATCATTGAAAATACTTAGGGGAAAAAGCCATTACTCAATGGTGTTTTCTACAGGTCTTTTTGGTGCAACTACTCTATTATCCAATTTCAACCTAATCTAAGGGATGTATTAATGCTGTAATTATAGTAACTCTCCTTGTATCTCTCCTGAGCAAAAAAGCTTGTGTTCATTTCTCTGTGATATTTTCTTCAGCTTGTCTCATCATGTAATCCTCTTATGAGCGTTTTCTTCCGCCGCTGAGTTACAGTAAACCAAAGCCCTCTGTTTTCTCTGCGTTTAATAGGGCACATCCCCTGAAGAACACACTGAACACTTTCTTACCGTTAAAAGATACTGATATGAAAACACATAAAGGGATTCTAATGAGTACAGGATTCAGCTATCAAGTGCTTGACACTGTTGTAGTGGTGGAGCAAAAGCACAAGAAAACTGACAACACTGCTCGAGGGATTGCAGTAAATAAAATAATAAGTATGAAATTGCTCAAAGCTGAGAAAAGCTGTTTTCTGAAAAAAAGGCAAAATAGGAACACAGAAAGAAGCAAGTATTGGAATATTTTAAAGCCACTCTTTTTACAAATGTGTTTTTGGCTACCCTAATAGTATTATCTAAAATATCAGGTTCCCATGTTGGATCCCTGAGGAATCCCAAACTGAAAAATGGTGTAATCACATAAATATCCAGCACAATATTTAAAGATAAAAAATGCGACTTGAAATTATAAAGATGGACAATGTTCGCCTAGCACTATATACCTTAGAGGTGAAGTGAATACATACAAAAGGACAAGAGTTAAACACTTTGAACTATTGACATCTTAAAGATATATGTGTTTTACCTGTGGGAGTCCAGCAGTTCCCTGGGTCTGATGATGGCTTTGACCAGGGCGTCGGGGCGCACCACCTTCTGAGGCGATGTCTTGGGGCTGGAGTCCGACTCTCCGCTCTCCTCGTCCCCCATGGCTTTAACATAGCTGCTGCTCCGCATCCGACGACAAGGGATCTCATCATCCTTCCCGCCGCCAGGGTAACCTCCCCAGTCATCCTGGGGCACCTGAGTGGCATGGGGATAGTAAATAGTCAGTGAAATAATATCAATATTTTTGGCCACTTTGGGGCAGAAGAAGAAGCTATAAAGACAACATTGTCATGTTATCAATGTATAACATTTTTGTGGTAGACATGGTAGCAAACAGCTGCCGACATATCCAGCAGACAAGAAGAAACGTGAGAGTGCATGATGATGTAAAACCAACACTTTCCGCTATACCTAAATGGAAATGTCTGATTCTGTAGCTTCTACATGTTTGGTGCTAAGCAGTTAGAGTTTACTGTTTTGAAACATGTTTTTTTATTGTTTGTTTTTTTCCTAAACAATTAGCTGTGGATAAATGGTCATAAAGGGTAGTAAATCTTTAAGTACAGTATCTTCCCACCTCTGCATTGCAAAGTGCACAACAACCATGCAATCTATAATCATTTTATAAAAAGGACTGAGATTTTGAGAGGACCGTATTAATTTAAATAAACCAATTTTCACGATGAGTCAACCAACATTAAAACCATACCACTTCCATTTAAGCTTCTTATTAGTCGGCCAGGTTACAAAATGAAGACTAAAAATGCTGTTGATCCGGACTGGGCTTTTAAAGAATTACTAGTCAAATACAGCTTGGGAATGGAGAAGAATAAACTATCTTTGCTCAACTTCACCTAGCTAATGCACATGGAAAACCTGCCACTAAAACAAGCCAGGCAGTTTGCATGCTGCACTTTTCATCCACTCATTAAAGCAGGTCATTGAGTATCCAGACGTCAGCATCACCATTATCCCATTCAAAGTGAAAACGGCGTGTCTCACTTGCACTTTCATACATGTGGAGTGCATATTTCACACCGCACACACAACTGTCCTAAATGTGGGATGTTGAGCGACAGGACGACAGACATCATCCTGCAGTGGTAAGTGGAAGTTAATGCACTTCTAGATTAGTCTTTCATGCCTTGCTCAGACTGGCAATTTTGTTATTTGAAGCAGAGCAGATGTAAATGGTATAATAGTACAGAACATTTCTGAACACACATCATGTGGAGCCAATTATGCTCTGAATCATGTTCTTGGCGTGAACGAAAAATGGGACTCAATTATGGTAGATGCCATTATACAGCCTGCTTCAACGTTATTAAACGTGCCTTTCTGTATTAGAGATGGTGGTCTGGCTTATTCAAATCTGCGGGGCTACTCTTCACAAAGTCATTGTAATGAACTGATTTTTCAAGAGCTCCTTTTACAATTCTCCTTTTCTCTCTCTCTTACACACTCTCATTTTGCAGAAGTTAAACAGTACAACATACAGTAGATGATATTTGGGAAATAACAGAAGCAGAGTCAGAGTCTCAGCCTCTTCTACTAACACATAGATAATGCGACACAACGCTCAGAGACACAATGCTCCTTCTGCAGATATACAAAAGCACAAAGCTCTTGCCTCTGTTCCTCTGTGTTTATATTTTCCTTTAGATGTACCTTGTCGCAATCTGCTGAATATGCGTAGTGGTCAGAAGCTATAGCCACATTTACATGGTCACTGATTTGGACTTATAAAATGTGACATTCTCAGTTTTCATTTGATTTAAATGGAGTTTAATAATTCTCTGATGCTGTATGCATCCTTCATACACTAAATCCGACTTAAGTCCCTATTTCTTTAACTTTATAGGCAAGGCAAGGCATTTCTTTAACTTTATAGTAACACTTTTCCAGAGTTGCACCCCAGAATAAGAAAAAATGCCTCCTAACCACTATTTATGACTCTAATATTATACTATTGTGTGTACCGGTATATTGCAAACTCTTTGTCTTTTACTGCTCAATCTCAGTATTGAATTTGATATAGTTGGCCATTACTTGACAGAGTGAAAAAATGGGTTTGACTCTTTGATTCAACATCAACCTGGTTTTAATCCTCTCTGCAGGAAAAATAACTATTTTTTGTCAGTTTGTAAATGATAAAATATCATATCATAATTATGCAGACGACACTAACATGTACATAACCCAGATTATAATGGGACATTACAGTCACTGAACACCTACACAGGACAAATCATCAATTGGATGTACCAACATTTTCTGCAATTAAATAAGATGCCAGAAAGAAATGATCCAAAATCAGTGCTCACCTCAATGTTTAAAACCTTTAACAGTGTCACACATCTTGTGGTTCTGAAGCTTACTATATTACAGCTAGACCTAAAAAACTCATGCCTTAACAATACTTAAATAAACATTATCATGCATTTGTCTTTAGTTAACCTGATAATGGCAACAGTGTCTTTACAGGTCTTACACAAACCAATCATTTAACTATGGATTTTCCTAGACGCTGCTGCCTGTGTCCTTACCAAAACCAAGAGGGTAGAACACATCATGTCAGCCCTCAGAGTCTGACACTGGCTTCCTGGTTTGGGGCCAGAATGCATGTTTGATATCCTGCTCTGTTACCAGCCACCCAGAGCTGTTAGATCAACGGGACAGACTCGCTCATTCTCCACGGGGTCAGAACCAAACATGCAGAAGCAGCTTTCAGTTTTTTTGCCCCGAAGATCTGCAAAAAGCTCCTAGAAAACATGATGTCTGCTTAAACCAAGAGTTCTTTTTAGTTCACAAGTTAATTTAAAGATTTCACAATATCATTACTCCTTCAAATTTCTCTACTTATCAATTTCTTTTGTTTTTGTTTCAAATGATCCATTTTAATAAACATACCTTACCAATTCTATGTTTTCTGAAAACATTCTATGGCCAGTCAGTGACTAACTCACTCCTCAGACTTTTACAATGAACTGGATGGCAGCTGACTGCATGTTGGAAATGTCAGGAGGTGATAGCTCGCCTCAAAATGTCACTAATGCATCACACAGATGACCCTCCTCCTTTTCTGATGCAAATGTCTTCTATTGGAAGATAACAATTGAAACGCGATTATTTTTCAAAGAGAAACAAAAACAAACATTAACCTTTACAACACTGCACTTTTAGGAATAAAGCCACCCTTTTTATGTGATAAAAGCACCAAAAGCAGCCAGGATTCTTAAAAGAAATTTTCCATAGTATACCATTGAGACATGTCAGTTTTTTAATGAGACATATGAGACAAAAATGATTCCCCCTGACACTAATTTGACTTACCTCTTGCATCAGAGAACCCCCACCCACGTTAACTGCACTAACAAGTGTCACATCAAATCAAAACAGCTGAGTAATTGATCCATTATGTCTTTATTACATCCGTCTCTGTTAATCATAGGGAATAATGGGTCAAAGCAGCCTTTGACTCTGTTATGTTGTGACATTAGTGTGTGATTGATGGGGATTATGGTCTGTCCTCTAGGCTTGTGAAGCTAGGTACTAGTACATTTCACTACAAAGCTGTGGTTGTACATCATGAAAAAAGGTAACGGCAAATAAATATGAAAGGCAACAAATGCATATCAAAGAAGCACAGCCATGCAAAAATAGAACTGCACGACTTTAGAAAACATTAGCTAACTGCGATGCCCTCTACCCAAAAATGCACAGCCACGAAGCAGCACACACTCCCAAAAAGACACACTGATAAAAGTTATTCATTTCCCCTCCAAAGACAGGCATGCACCAGCTACCAAATGAAGTCGATGGGTTAATTAAGTCTTGGAGGGGTTTGATATTTTTAGACGTCTAATTAATGAACGGAACGCTAGAGGACAGGCGCAAGCTGTGGTGAGATTTGTTTAATTTGGATTCGCTGATAAACTGGATAGATTGCAGCGTGTCTCCCCGTGCTGATAAAGACACAGGTTGGGCAGCAGCTCGCTCGTATTGATTGATGGGAAAGCACACACGGCATCCCAGCATCCTTAATGGAGGTGAAATATGGACGCTTGTCACCATGAACGCTCACCTTGACCCACAGAACCTACAGAGTGAAGGCATGGGATTCAGAGGTGAATGTGCATCCACACACCTGATGCCATGTGCAATCATTCTGTGTGACTAGATAAATGTGCCAGATCTTGTTCTATTCAAGGCCTTGGTGAAAATGAGCCGAAGTTAGTGGGAGCCGTGTGAAGTTTCACAGCTCAAGTGTGAAGATCCATATTTAAAGTTACATTATGGCAGTCAAAGAACTTTTACTTCCTTTAATTCATTATGGTTATTAATCTGTTAAGTCCTGAGCCTGTTTTTCAGGTTTCAGGCTTGACAATGACATGCCCAGAACAAATGACTATATCTTCACTTCTAAAAGGGGTACATTAATAATCTTTTTTCTCAAAGGAATGATACACCTGTGAGTTGGATTTAGAAAAGTCAGAATCAATATACATTTTTTTATTTTAAAGTAAATTCAGATTGAACATAGTAAAAAAATGTAAATTATAGTTTCCGTCAAAAAAACAACCCATTACTCATAGGGAAAACCACCCTTGAATGATGGGATAGTAGACTAAAAGTTTTAGGAATCCAAACTATAATATATAATAAGTACCTTGTTTCAAGATTGATGCAAAACAAGTTAAATATGACATTTTTAGAGAGGTTTAGAAAAAGAAAACCCACCTCTGGGGTAATTTGGGTGTATTTGCCATATCTCTGGAACCCATCGGTCAATTTTGATGATTGACACCTCTTTTTAACCGTTAGAGCCAATAGAATCGAGAGGGAGTTCCTAAATCCATCTAAACATTACCATTGGTGAATGAGAGTGATGCGCAGCCAGCAAGCCCAAAACCGGAAGCTGGGTTACAGCTCTCACTCTATATGAAAATTCAGTTTATTGACATAAATATGATGATGGATTATCAGTAATCATTTCAAAGTGACACAGAGCCATTGGATTAACCTTCAGCAGCGTTTATATGCGTTTCAATGCCCTTGAACACAACTTTTGATCAGAAAACAGCAAAGGTAAGAAGTATTTGCCGTTTTGGCCCCGTAAAGTGAAGTTGTGCGTTGTCTTTGCTGGCTTTCGCTGCCGCGAGTTTTGGTCGTGGAGTGATGCTACTTATACCATT